TCCAATTAAACATCACCACCTGCATTTAATATTGTATTATACTGATACTACTTGTTACTTTTTTTTTTGGAAAACAAACTTTGTTTAAAAGGAAACAATTAAAATACACATTTGATCATAAAACAATCACAGTAACCTCTCTTTTGAATTAATTTGTTTAATTAATTTTCACAGACCACAGACTCAAGTGAATGGAAGTTGATGAACCACAGCCAAAGCAAATTTTGCTTCATTCTGCATCAGCTGAAATCAAGAATTAAGAAGTGCTTCCTGGTCGAAGTCATGTTCTCCCATGAAACAATAATATATTAAGTACTTTTAATAGAGAAATAACCATTGAGAAATTAGTAAGATGTGAAACATTGAGTGGTGGAATTTATAGTTGAGGCTGCTATTGCAAAATCAGGATGAAGCCTTGTTACTACATGAGGGATATAAGTATCTGGTGGCAATTCAGGCCAAGGCATGAATCAATTGAAAGTACTGTAGTCTTATCTGATTGGAACTGTATACTGTTTGATGAATGTCATCTATTTGATATAACATCACTGTGTTGAGAAATATCACCATATATTTTTTTAATTTTCCTTGTATGAACAGTTATCAACAACACATTTATTTTCTTTATAAAAATTTGCATTGATTTTTGAATGGCATTGTATGGTATTTTACAATGCAATATGAAAAGAAGAAAATAACGGAACAGCACTTGCTGATAAATGATATTGAATACAGCAGAACTCATTATTTCTAGTTTCTTTTAAACTGTTTATACTGGATGGCTACATTGATAATATTATATAATTGTATTATTTAACACATGTTCATAAGTGGATTGGATTGAACTCTATATTCAGCTACAGTGTGCTACAGTGTCTCAATAATATTCAAATAAAAGTATTCAGACTTTTTTCATAAACTTCTTCCAACCTTCGTGGTTACTGTTGTATATTTAAATTTATATACCTAGTGAATGATCAGAGAGATAATGAAAGTGCTGATGGGATGCAACTGGCTGAACTGACCTATATTAAATATTTATTTGTTTACCTCCTTTATTGGAATCATCAATTACTTTTATTCATTCATTCATTCAGTCCAATATATCAAGGTCAATATATTATCAAGGTCATATTAATCAAGGTCTTCAAGCAGCTAAACAAAATTCAACTGGCATGGCAAGAAATACTGATCATTGCATGCAAATAAAAACATTTGAAATTTTACATCAGCCTCAATGTGTTCAGTATTTTTTGAAGTAATTCAGTCTCAGTTTTCTTTAACATTTTTTTTAATGTATTAAAAAACAAAACAGAACGAAAAAAAAGGGGAAAAATAGAATCGAAATATTATATTATATATTTCTGTCTTTCATTCAAAGTCGATAAACATACATATTGCCCTTTCTACTATGCATACATGTAGGCCTAGGTAAATAACACAATACACATTCAGTAAAGCACGGTTGCCTTTGGCTTACAAAAACCTACGGTATGATAGTCGAGGGAAGACGGGAAATGCGATTTACTACCTCAACAATCTTACTACTACAGTATTACCAATGTATTTTATTTAAAGGCTGGTATACTTATATCATATTGAAATATTCCACTAAAACTTAAGAACTTTCCTCCAAATTGCTACAAATTGTCACTTTCCTCGCGACATTGTTTATACAAGATATTGTCGGCAATATAATAAGGCGTATGTACGGGTTAGGAAAATAAAATAAAAATTCATCATGTCACTTAAACAGCTTCGTAAATCTAAGAGTTGCTGATCAGTTTAATTATTTTTTTACATCAATTGCATCCTCTCTGCCATCTAAATTACCTGCCTCTACGGTTCAGTTTGGGCCACCACATAAAATAATTCGTAAGAAAAACATCACTGAAAATAAGTTTGGTTCGAAAATCGTAACCGAGGAAGAAGTTATTAAGATTGTACATGGTCTAGCAATAATAGTAGGGCAACTGGCTTAGATAACATTCCAGGTTGATTTATTAAGGATGCTTCTCCTGAAAATGACAGACAATTACACTGGGATGGTCACGTTGGACATACAGAAAGCTTTTGACACCGTCGACTACGACATTCTACTGAATAAACTAAAAGCATTAGGAATTAATGACATTTCGATCGACTGTGGTTCAAGTCATATTTAACTGGTAGAAAACAAATGGTAGCAGTCAGTGACACACTGTCTAAGGCACGACCAGTGGCGTCACGGAGTTTGTGGGGCCCTGGCACCGACTGTTATTTTGGGGCCCCTAATAAGTGAGCGAAGCGAGCAAACATACGCTGGCGGCTAAGGGGACGCGTAGGGCCCGCAGTCGGAGGTCAGGGAGTGAAGGCCCCTGGTGGGGTTCCGAGGGGGCTTTCGCGCTCAGAGCTTGTGTCATTTGTCATTAACAGAGAACATAGAATGGTCCATGACTGATGAAATATCTCAGACAATTTTATGACAAAACTAACATAGATTACATAGGCCAACTTTCGGAAATGGCATGTGCCTAACAGTAGGCCTATGTACTCTATGTAGGTGTAAAAATACAAAGAATATTTTAGTGAGAAACAAAACATGTTTTTATAACGTATATACAATGTAAAGCAGATTGATCACAAAATCAGAAACAAATGTCAAAATCAGAACCCAACTTTTATTGTTTAGAACTGTCGGAGCCCCATTGAATGAAACTATGGTATTATAGTTTATATTAAATTAGCCCTATTAGATACCGTATATATGCTAAATTTTGACATGCTACCAATTGAACATTTTAAATCATATGTATAAAATCATCAGTGCACCAGATTAAACGAGGCAACATGTCGTAAAAGTTTGTGATCACCATAGTTATAACACTAAGGCTAGCAACTTATATGTGAATATCTCTGGTCTAGTTCCTTTATACACTGGTATAAGTAATTGGAACAGGCTACCTTTAAATGTTAAGCAATGTCATTCGTTAAGCAGTTTTAACAAGTGTGTCAGAAAGCTTTTTTTCAATAGGCTTGTTTTAGATGAGTAAATAATTTAATATCTCTTTAAATTTTTATATCTATTATATATGCTAATTATTTTACTGAAAAAAATTCAATCAATCAATCATCACAAGGAACATATGAACGCGCATCACGAAAATTAAACTATCGGCATGCTATTTTTCACCACCCTGATAATGTTCGTTACCATTGCATCTCCGATGCCGACCAAAGATCAACAGCCTTCGACGAAGGAATTCACGTCTTTTTTTGCAACGTGCGTCAGTATTGCGGACATCGTCGAAATGCACGTAGTGCCGGAGTGGCGCACCACGTTGATAGGCGCAAACAACTCCGTGATTGTGTTTCAAATCCATGTCATGTATTTTCTACAACCATAATACGAAAACAAAACGTGGTTTTGCTTTAACCATAATACGAAAACAAAAAGTGTTTTTGCTATAACCATAATACGAAAACAAAATATGTAAACAATATTACTGGTAATGGTACTGGTTTTGGTACACTTCAACTATCTCCAACCTGCCTTTAAAACGACAAGCTTGGATCGGCCAGCTTCAGACTTTCATATTCTCTAACTTTAGCTGGTTCTACGATGACGAATTTAATATTGCAGTGTTAGATTTAATCGTTATTGAAGAAGAACAAGAAGTCATCGATCTGATGATGATGATGATGACGATATTCAATTGATAGATTCATCCCCAATGCCGTAGACAAGAATTTTAAGCAGTGCGAGACAATACCAGGGTGGACCCACTTTACACGTAAATTCAAATAATTTGAACCCATTTTCTTTAAAAAATTACCATTTCACACAAAAATCTAGAACCAATTTTCTTAAAATTTTACCCATTTTAGGCTAAATAAAATTTTTCAAAATGTGGACACCATTCTTTGTGAACACATTAGAAAAATTGTGTGGGACTGTTCCAAATGTCCGAATAGCTGACTACGGCATTGTTCACCCGGTATTAAAAAGAAGAAAAAGAAAAAAAAAATCGTCATCGATCTGACAAATGTTTCTGATAGTGATGAGTGAGTTTACCAGTAATACATTCTGTAACGTGGCCTGTTTCGACGATGTTTGTATTGATGACGATGTTCCAGTAATAGATTTAACCGGTATTGAATTATTAATTGAAAAAAATACCTGTCATTTATCTGAAAAAAAATTTCTGATGGTGATGATGATAATATTCAAATCAATTAAATTACTAGTGAAGAAAAAAGCTTAAACGATCCCATCTGCGATGATTATTACAGGGACTTTCTAGCATCTGACTGTAATACTGTGTATACTGTGAATGAAGATGAGGTGTTTTGGAAGAAAACGAAGATGATAAGTTAGCAGAGATGGCGGCAAAAGAGTGTTTTGAAAAAAAATATTGAACACAAATTTGGACAAACGGAATTGTAGACCCAGTCAAACGGATGAAGATATTTGCCTCGTCGTAAGTTGTCGAGAAAAAGTAGATATATATTTTGAAACTATTTTTTTACGGCGATTATATTGTACGGGTAATTTAACTATATAAATGCAATTTGCGTTTTCTAAAGGTTTTAAAAATCACCATGATATACAATTAACTACTGTCTCGTAATACTAAATCTGAAGCAGATGCGTGGCCTTCAGCTGTAAAGTTGGCTTAGGAAAAAAAAGAATTTGTTCTGCTTTCTTAATTCTTAATTATAATAATCAAATCAATCAATCAGTCAATCAATCAATCAATCAACCTATTCACCAAATACAAATATATATAAAATACAATAAAGCTTCACAAGACAAAATTAATCAAAAGAAACTCGCATCCATTATACAAAAGCCAAAGGTACAGAAATTTAAAAAGCTAAATTAATGATTGAATGAATATCGTTATTATATAAGCAATTCTTTACACTGTCGCAAATTCCATGGTTTACGCAATGCAATTGATGTATTTAATAAAAAAACATATTTAAAAATAGTGAAATAAACAAATTGTTTCACTGACCTGACGAAATAGTTTTGCTGATATAATTATTTTTCCAGTAGCGACTGATTTCTCTAAAATGATTTGGATTTCCATTTAGTACTTTTATATTTCGATTTTTTGGAGATTGGCGATTTATTAGATCACTAGCCTTCAGACATCCCGAAAAGGCCGTTTCGGATGACAGGCTTGGGAACCAAATATAGTTGTTGTATTGCTTCATTGATTCGATAAATGATGAATGTTGCTTTTTTTTTCGTAGTCCGCCAAATCTAAACGAAGAATAACAAGATAATCTGGAATTAAAAACCCTCGTCCTGTTGCGTCATATCTATGTACTGATTAATAGATTGTATGTATGTCGTTCACAGTTTGAGACGTTTGCACAATTTGCAAATTCTGCTAACTGTGCAATGTAATAACGGTGTGTATTGACTACTAAAACCAGAAACCAGAAATTGACATCAAAAACTGAAAGAAAAAATGGAAAATCAGTCAAAAGTAAAACATGTACATCAAAATGAGTGACTTCAGGACTAGGCCCCAAAAAATGCGAGTATCACAAGAGCCTATCATTTAATAATGATCAAAACGTCTATAACGATTAATTGTGCTCACTTCTTTGCTTTGGCCTTTTCCTCTTTTAATCTATATAACTAAAGTTTCAACTTATTGTCGTGGTTCGACTTTAGAAAGATATTGAAAAGGGAGATACAATCTTCCTTGAGTAGTTTAGACTCGGTTGGTAATCAATCACAAGGCATCTGTGTGTAGCATTCAACGTTTTATTTGCACATAAACCAACGCGAACTATACGAAACAAAACCCTGCAAAATATACATTCCAAACAAGAATTATATAATGCGTTATTATTACACAATATATCAAGGATAACAACATTATGCAAATTATATAACTTAACAACAATTCTGATATAACCTGGCAACACACCAACATCAGAAACAATTTGATAATTAAATAGCATAGCCTATTAAAATGGTGTAATAACTTGTATTTACCTCAAGCTAGAATGCTTAATGCACCAGTCTGTAATCTATGACTGTTGGACGCTCCAACAACACTTCTGAAACTACAGACTATATTGGACGCTCCAACAAACTTCTGTTAACTACAGACTAATAATGGCCACCAAAACTTCTGTAACTTCAGACTATTACTGGCCACCAAAACTTCCATAACTTCAAACTATTACTGGCCACCAAGCTAACGGTATATTAAAACAAGAATATAACGATTATAAGTAATAACAATCACTCCCCATTAGCGGAATGTACAATAACAATAATATTAACAACTCATGTAAATGTACAGCACAATAATATTAACAATGCATTCAATACCGGCATTAATCCAATACGGACATGAATTAACTAAATATTATAATATAACATACTTATAACTTATTGTATAAATGCACACATATCATTCAATTAAATTAACTACAAATTATAATATACACTACATCATGGACTTCAGAACTGCATACTGCCAAAATAACGTGTGCAGGGCTTGCAACGGAACAAACGAAAACTGGTTGCAAGACCCCACAAAAGCATATATACCGCCGAACAGCTGTGTATTTGCATGAACATGCACGAGATGAATATGTAAATACAACAACAATAAAGCAAACAATAGCTGCAGCGCAATCCCATTACACTAACAAATCGCATCATCACAATATTCCCCGCTCGAAATGCACTTTTGTCCCCAAAAGTATGAGTACAATCAAAAGACAAACGTTAATCTTATCTCCCATCAAGAGCTGAAACCGGTAATCTATATGGATTTCTATTAATGCCTTTAGTAGAACGGGTCGACCTTCTCAAGGGAGCACTTTCAGTATTTATCACTTCACTCTTACTATCCCTATGTATCAATCTCACGTTATCTTCATTTGATTCATTTGATTCACTTTCACTCGATTCACTCTCATCTGATGAACTAATATCTCCATTAAATTCAAATGGCAAAACATTCATTAGCGGCTGACCTTCTGGTTCAATCTTATCTTCTGGATTTAAAATAAGTTTTCGCCTGTTAACATGCTTAAGCACAACACCTTTAACCGGGCGAATACTAAACACATCATCAGATGAATTGATTGACTCAATTATATAAGAACAATCATGAAACTTATCAACAAGTTTATGACGTGTTTTGAATTCTTCTCTTCGAAGTAATACACGATCACCAATTTTCAAAGCACCTGGAGGAAGCTTAACACTATGTCGCTTCTCTTCTCGATCAGCTGCCGCCTTCAATCTAGATGACGCAACTTCATATGCTCTCTTCATTAATCGTGCTTCTTGCTGCAAGTAATCCTCTGACCAGTCATTCTCTAGGTTACTAAGCAAGCTGTCAATAAGAAGATGAGGCTCACGACCAAACATAAGTAAATACGTTGTAACCCCTGTAATACAATGTGGTGTAGAATTATACATGAACACAATATGATGAAAATTCAGGCCATCTCTTACGTTCGTTGTGATGCAGAGACCGAAATAAACCACAAAGAGACTTATTAAACCGTTCACACTGACCATTTCCAGTAGGGTAATAGCTAGTAGTACAAGACTTATTAATGCCATACAATTTACAAATTTCACGGATGACAGTATTTTCAAAAGACTTCCCTTGATCCGAATGCAACCGACCTGGAACACCATAGTGTACAAACCATGAATCTCTTAACACATTAGCAACTGTTACTGCAGACTGATTTCTACAAGGAACAGCTAAGGAAAATTTGCTGAAAACATCAGTCATAACCAACACATCTTCATAACCTGCTTTGCCTCGACCCAACTTCATGAAGTCTAACGCTACAAATTCCTGAGGACGGAAAGCTAACACATGTCTGAGTGGTGGTTTCGGCGAAGGCGAAGGTAGTTTACTGCGAGCACAACGACTACAACGAGAAATGTAAAGCCTTACCTCACCAGTCATCCTTGGCCAATAACAACGGCGTTTAAGCAAAGACAAAGTCCGATGAATCCCTTGATGAGCCCATTTATCATGACACCTCTATCAATGTCGAACGTAACTTTTGTGGAACCAACAACTGTCTAACAAAATCAAAAATAGGATCCTTCACTTGCCGATACAGCACACCGTTACACCTGTCTCTTATACACATCTAGATGTGTATAAGAGACAGCATAAAGTTAGTCCAAATTATTTTATGGGCCCTTTAAAGAATATATTTGGGCCCCTTAGATTTGCATTATGGTTTCATTTGGGACCCATATGGGTTTTACCAAATTCATGGGATCTTTATGGGCTATATCTGGGTTTTTTGAGGATTGAAATGTAAGGGGCCACTATAAATTGGCCTATACGGGAAAGAGCTGCCTGTGCACCCAAAATTCATAAGGGTCCCATAAAGTTTATGGGCCCGCTAAAGGATATATTTGGGTCCCTTAGGTTTCCATTATGGTTTTATTTGGGACCCATGTGGGTTTTGTCCAAAATAATTTACGGGGGACATGAAATTAACTAAATATTATAATATAACATACTTATAACTTATTTTATCAATGCACACATATCATTCAATTAAATTAACTACCGTACAAATTATAATATACACTACATCATGGACTTCAGAACTGCATATTGCCAAAATAACGAACTGCATACTGCCAAAATAACGTGTGCAGGGCTGGAAACGGAACAAACAAAAACTGGTTGCAAGAGCCCACAAAAGCATATATACCGCCGAACAGCTGTGTATTTGCATGAACATGCACGAGATGAATAAGTAAATACAACAACAATAAAGCAAACAATAGCTGCAGCGCAATCCCATTACACGAACAAATCGCATCATCACAATATTCCCCGCTCGAAATGCACTTTTGTCCCCAAAAGTATGAGTACAATCAAAAGACAAACGTTAATCTTATCTCCCATCAAGAGCTGAAACCGGTAATCTATATGGATTTCTATTAATGCCTTTAGTAGAACGGGTCGACCTTCTCAAGAGAGCACTTTCAGTATTTATCACTTCACTCTTACTATCCCTATGTATCAATCTCACGTTATCTTCATTTGAATCATTTGATTCACTTTCACTCGATTCACTTTCATCTGATGAACTAATATCTCCCTTAAATTCAAATGGCAAAACATTCATTAGAGGCTGAACTTCTGGTTCAATCTTATCTTCTGGATTTAAAATAAGTTTTCGCCTGTTAACATGCTTAAGCACAACACCTTTAACCGGGCGAATACTAAACACATCATCAGATGAATTGACAAGTTTATGACGTGTTTTGAATGCTTCTCTTCGAAGTAATACACGATCACCAATTTTCAAAGCATCTGGAGGAAGCATTAACACTATGTCGCTTCTCTTCTCGATCAGATGACGCAACTTCATATGCTCTTTTCATTAATCGTGCTTCTTGCTGCAAGTAATCCTCTGACCAGTCATTCTCTAGGTTACTAAGCAAGCTGTCAATATGAAGATGAGTCTCACGACCAAACATATGTAAATACGGTGTAACCCCTGTAATACAATGTGGTGTAGAATTATACATGAACACAATATGATGAATTAATTCAGGCCATCTCTTACGTTCGTTGGGATGCAGAGACCGCAATAAACCACAAAAAGACTTATTAAACCGTTCACACTGACCATTTCCAGCAGGGTAATAGCTAGTAGTACAAGGCTTATTAATGACATACAATTTACAAATTTCACGGATGACAGTATTTTCAAAAGACTTCCCTTGATCCGAATGCAATCGACCTGGAACACCATAGTGTACAAACCATGAATCTCTTAACACATTAGCAACTGTTACTGCAGACTGATTTCTGCAAGGAACAGCTAAGGAAAATTTGCTGAAAACATCAGTCATAACCAACACATCTTCATAACCTGCTTTGCCTCGACCCAACTTCATGAAGTCTAACGCTACAAATTCCTGAGGACGGAAAGCTAACACATGTCTGAGTGGTGGTTTCGGCGAAGGCGAAGGTAGTTTAGTGCGAGCACAACGACTACAACGAAAAATGTAAAGCCTTACCTCACCAGTCATCCTTGGCCAATAGCAACGGCGTTTAAGCAAAGACAAAGTCCGATGAATCCCTTGATGAGCCCATTTATCATGACAACTCTATCAATGTCGAACGTAATTTTGTGGAACCAACAACTGTCTAACAAGGATCCTTTACTTGCCGATACAGCACACCGTTACACTCTACAAAGTTGAGTCAGCACATCTGTTTGTA